TGGGAAGCAATCCCTTGCATGAATCTCAGTACGCCTATCAGTCAGGAAGGTCTACTGTACTCGCTCTGCAGAGTCTGGTGGGGGTTCTTGAAAACTCACTGGAAGTGCGGGAGATGGCAGTTGGCTGCTCCTTGATATAGAGGGAGCTTTTGACAACACGCCATATCATGTCATCTGTGAATCGTTGCGCAAACGAGGGATTGATGCGACGACTAGCAGATGGGTTAATCGGATGCTGCAGGATAGGATTATTAAGTCCACCATAGCTGACGATGTACTCTTCATCTCCGCTGCAAAAGGTTGTCTGCAGGGCGGTGTTCTTTCGGCCCTCCTGTGGTGCATTGTAGTGGGTGTAGTGGATCTAATCGCTGCTCTCAGGGACTCCGGGGTACGTGTCTGGGGATACGCCGACGATGTGGCCTTCGTCGTACGGGGAAAATTTGAGAGCACTATTTCTGATCTTCTACAGCAAAATTTACGTATTGTGGAGAGGTGGTGCGAAGGCGTTGGCTTAAATATAAATCCAAGCAAGAGTACTTTGGTCGCCTTCACCAGACGCAGAAGCAAGGATAGATTAACGAGCCCAATTCTGTTTGGTGAACATATTAGTTACTCTTGGGAGGTGAAGTATCTGAGGGTAATCCTGGATGATCGTATCTTCTGGAATATTCATATAGATAGAGTTATCGAGAGGGCTACGGCGGCCTTGTGCACGTGTAGGAGCTTCATCGGGGGGACCTGGGGAATTAGTCCCAGGATAGCACTGTGGCTATATACGGCCCATGCTAGGCCCATCGTCACATACGCGTCGATTGTATGATGCCGTAAGGCTCAGCAGGTGGATGTGCGGGCCAAGCTGGAAAATCTACAGAGGCTAGCCTGCTTGGGAGTGACCGGGTCAATGCGGACGGCTCCTATCGCTGCATTGGAGGTGATGATCGGGTTGCACAGGACTCACAGAGACTTCATTGAGAGCGATCCGATTCTAAGAATAACCATGTCGGATACCTGTCTACCGCGGTACAACTTCGACCACAAGTACAGGGTTCTATTTCCCGATCGATGGACGTGGGATCGGGGTGGCCCGGTACTTGAGTCGGGTTCGAGCGCGTGGTATGCGGACGGGTCCGAAACAGAGTCGGGTGTGGGTTCGGGTGTATACGGTGTCCGCCCGGACACGCGTGTATATGCAACCCTCGACCCATATTGCACGATGTTCCAGGCCGAAATACATGCAATAGAGATCTGTCTGAGAATCAATTTAGAAAGGCGGTATAGAAACCGCACCATCTATGTGTTCTCGGACAGCAGGGCTGCACTGCTGGCGCTTCGTTCAGCTCAGGTTACATCCAAGCTGGTCTGGGGCTGCCTTGCTGGACTAATGGAATTGGCATCGGAGAACAGAGTCACGCTCATTTGGGTGCCGGGCCATAGTGGCCATGCGAGTAACGAAATTGCCGATGGGCTGGCGCGGAAGGGATCTGAGGCTGACTTAGTGCAGTCGCTGCCTTTCTGCGGTCTGCCTTGTTCCGCCGTGGGGGCCGGGCTTGCCTGCCTGCTCCCGGCGGAATACGGCCGTCACTGGCGGAACATGAAAGGGTGCCGTCATGTGAAGGTGTTTCTTTCGGCGTGCTCCAGCGGATTCACCGCAGAGTTGCTGGGGATGAGCAGAAGCCGGATTCGCACTATTGCGAATTTCTTCACGGGGCACTGTCCAGTGTAGTACCACCTGCATAGGCTGGGGAAGTCGGGCTCCCCCCTGTGTAGATTTAGTGGGGGTGGCGATGAGGCCGCCATGCACTTTCTCTGCGACTGTTCGGCACTGGCTGTTCGGCGCCGCAATTGTGTTGGACATGGGTCCCTAAGTGTTCGGGAACTGTTGTCCAACTCCCTTAGGGATATCTCCGGCTTTGTGGTTGGGACGGGAATATTGTAGACTGGAGCGTGGGGAGGCTCACATCTAAGTCTATATTGCCTCTGACTTTGGGTGAGTACAAATTTCATTAAGAACCGAACATATGCATAATTATACCGAAATATGCATGAAAGCATAACGGCAGTCTTAGATTCCGACAGACAGGAGGCAAGAATGGTAATCGATCTTCTGAATACCCCTAGATTATAGATCGTAGATTTTTTAGGGAGCCGAATGAGGCAAGATATCTTCCCACCGCAGCCATTCACGGCTTAATGTAAGCCCTCACCAGCTGGATATATCCCAATAGAATGGGATAATATTTCCCCAAAGTTCATGAACTCCTTCCTCCCAAAACAATTAAAATACCAGCCCCCCAATACTGGGTAGTCGCAAAAAATATGCAAGGGGCACGGCGGTCTCGTCTAAGTTCCCACAAAAGGGAGAATTCGATTTCTAATGACTGTGATTCTGTTTGCCGATGCCAATTCCACAAGTGCAGTAAGGCAGTTTCAGGCCAGCTTGGATGTAACCTGAATCAACTAAAGTGCTGTTTTCAAAATTTATAGGCTAAGTAAATATCTGTTAGTTTTAAGGCATGGCTGCTGTTAGTTTTAAGGCATTTATAATCATATGCATAAATTCGAGCACTGTTTACTGACCGTTTACGACAATATCCGCAAGATGAAAGAGAGACGATGGAATACATATCTTCTTTAGTGGATAATTCGAACATTCTTTCACCTAACTATATGTTGAATGTATTCTATAATCTTATTCATGATTTTATGGTCATTAAATTATAAAATGATTTTAACAAGTTGTCAACATAATGAAAATTATTCCAAATGATTCTCAAATACTTCACATTTAAGAAAAAACAATCAAAAAATAAATTCATTGAAAATTTCCTTCAATATTAATACAAAATGTCAGTTGCTAAATGTTACTTAATTCACATATAATAATTAACATGTCTTTTATAAAATTAGTACAATTTATAAATATAACATTATAAAAGACACCATGTAGGTATACTAATATAGGCGGCTCGATTAACAAGAACAGAATTACCTATACGAAAGACAATTTTAAAAATGGTAAATTTTAAATATAAAATAACAAAGGTGAAGTTTTTTTTATTCGTAATTGATTGTTTCAAGTAGATATTATCTTTACTTTAAATATGTGATATCACGTGGATTCATACATATGTATACATATATGGAATAGATTTATGTACAAGTAAGTATAACAAAGAAATTAAAAATTATAACAAATCTCTATATTGTTGAAATTGTTATAATTATAATTATGTACATAGTATACTAAGCTTACATACATACAGACATGTATAAAAAACAAAAAATTTATGCATATAAAAATTTAACTTTAATATATTTATATCCGAACTTTTGAATGGACGTAAATTATAGAGCAAAAAATTTATGAAGTGTAAAAATTTAACACTAAAGCACATCATTTTTCTTTGTAAGTTTATAACACTAAACAAATAAGTGCTTAGATTTAACATACTATTTTAAGTGCTTGCAACCAAGCGAAATCGAAGTGAGTCAAAGAGTCGATTCATAAGTATGGAAATCAACTTCTTTCATTGAATGAGATAAACTTTTAAGATTAATATCAAAAATATGAATTCATCCGTGAGCTCTAAAGGGGATAATTATGGAATATCAAAAACCAAATGAACAAGCACGAAATATGACACTAAATTGACACAAGTAGTAACTCGTCAAAAATGTATTAAATGTAACTCGTTTTCAGTGCTAAACTATTAGATTTAAACATGAGAAATATTTTTTAAAAAATTTTATTTAAACAACGCCATCTTACAGTTGATTTGCACAATTGTAATAAATTTTTTTAATATTGAATTGTTTTTTTGTGTAATTTTTAATCTTATTGTTTTCATTATAGCTCGAAACTAGAACATATAAATGAAGTCAATAATTTGCTTTAGGTGTTTTCTCGCATGAGAGAAGGTTGCAAAATTGATTTTATTGCAATAACAACAATTATAATTATTGTTTCATTTTTATTTTAAACGGTTTCTTTTGACGTGATATTTATGTTTTTTTTTTTTAATTTTTTTTATTAAAATTTTTAATTGCTTATAATTATTGAATTTCAGAAAAAAAGGCACTAAAAACAAATCAAAACGGAAATAAAATTGTAGATATATATTTTTTTATTTTTTTTTTTTTTGGTTTTTATTATACTGCTTATGTAGCACAGTAATGGTTTGCCAGCAAACTAAACTTAATTATAACAGAAATTAACAAACACTTCATAAATTTAAATTTCCTCTATAAAAAAAAATTTTAGAAAAATTTTAACAGGTTGTGAGTGTAAAATTAATTTTTAATAATAAATCACAAAAGAAAAAAAATAAAATATTAAAAAAAAAAGTATTATAAATTAAATTTTTTATTACCAAATTTAACCCTTTTTCTTAATAGACTTGCTATTCAAAATTAGACTCCACTTTATATGTGACGTGTCATGCAATTGTCAATGTCAGTTAGTTTTATAATCAAATAATTAATTATATTTGGTAAAATCATGTTACCAAATTTTATTTGTAGTTGTTTAATTTTTTCGAAATTATTAGAGAAATTGAAAATTTTTCGACATGAATTTTGTTCAATTATGTTAATTACAATTACATTTTTTTAATATACCAATAATGACCAGTCAACATTAATTAATTTTTATTTCGATAGTTTTGTTGTCAAATATTTATACATACATAAATACTAACTCTAAGTCGTCAATGTTATAACTATAACAAAAAATACATGTATAATAGCATTTCAATTATGCAATATATTATTATTTAATATACGAGTATTAGAGCATTATTCAAAATGTCACTATTGTCAAATATTATTTATTGAATTATTAAAATATTTATTTCAAAATTTTCAACTAAAATTAATTTTATTTAAACAACAATATATGTATAGGTAGAGAACTATAATAAATTATATTTTAAATATCAAATAATTTGTATATATAAAAAGAAATTTATTATAAATTTAAAAAATTAATATTTAAAACTTACATCTGGCAATGCAAAGCATACTGTCCATGTTGTTAATAATATACCAAAAATAAATGTCATGTTGCAATGATGATGATAAATCTGTTTGAAAGTAAACAAAAAAAGAAAAAAATAAAAGAATGAAAATAATTTTATAAATTAGCTGTAATATATTTGAAAAAACACAACAATGTTTAATATTCCTATAAACACTATTGTAATTTTACATTATATAACATTTAACCTAATATGTATAAGTTTTAAAGCTGAAGCTTTTATACAAATTGTACCCATATTAGTGTCACTCATTAATTTTTCATTTTAAAATATTGCAACATTATTATGTCATTCAAGCACAATTCGAAAATAAATTTTTAAAATAATAAAATATAATTATTATAGAAATTTAATAAATACTGTAATATTAATATAAAGTTAAATATCCAGAAAAATTTATAATTGTATAATAGTTTTAAATTTTAAAGCTATACACGTAATAGTTATTGTATTTCCCTATAAAGTGCAGAATTAAATCAGTGGAACATTCGATATATCAAGAATACCAAAAGCTATTCAATTAACATTAATTATCAAATTCCTATTGTTATTTTTGCGTATATAAACAAATTAATTTAAAATTAGATTTTTAAAATTTAATTTAATTATTTGAAAATATATGTGTAAATAAATTTTAAAATGATCATTCAACAAAATGCATAAAAGATGGCGACTTTATAACATAATAACTGACTAAAGATTTAATTTTTGAATTTTAAATGAATGCGATTTTATATAATAGTTATGCGTTGAACAATTTCCGAAGAACTTTTATTAATTATTTTTTTGACCTCAATATAAGTAAAGTATGCTTTAATCACCTGTTATTCGTTATTGTTTGGCTGATTTTTATTTCATATATTTGCAAGTCAACTCAAATTTTTTTTTATTTATTTCTATTTAATTTACATAATTTTAAATCAGACATATTGATTTATTTAAAATTTACGCTATAGAAATAAATTAAAATGATAAAAAACTATAAAAAAAAATTTCAAAAATAAAAATATATGCATATTTTTTTTTTAATTCTATTTTATTATTCTATTGTTTATTTAATGGAAAATAAAATTAATATTAATAATATTTTATTTTTTTATGAAACACTTTAATTTTTGAATTGACCATTTGACTCTTTTTGTTTTTTCTTTTATAGCTACATCAAAAATTTGCATACATTATTATTCATTTGATTCGATTTATTTTTAAGAAAATTCCAAAATACTTTTTTACCAAAATTTCTTTATATAAAATGATTGTATGAACATCATTTCTTTCAGTAAAAATTAAAATCCGTAAAGAAGAAGAATGGAGACGTCTGCTACCTACTATGAATAAAATCAAAAACTGGAAACAAAAATTTGATTTATTAAATTACTCGTATTATTAAATTTACATAATTCAAATTTTGTATCAAATAACAAAAAAGTATGCTTGAGTATATGAGTTTTAAAATTCTTATATGTTGTATAAAAGAAGATTTTATCAATTAAAATTTAAAAAGTAATATTGCTCATTTTGACTTAACGCGAGATTGAGAATTTCTGACTTTTCACAATTCATTAAAATCTTAAAATTAAATATGAAGATTTTCTTAGCAGTTTCTTATAAAAGTTTATAAAATAGCACAGTATAATAGTGCAGTATATAAAGGTATAATAGTACAGTATAATAGTGGGGCCCAAAACCGCACTGTCACCTCCTAGTGGTGGGCCCCGGTAATGGCGGAGGATAAAGGGGTGATTGAAACGATCAAAGTTACGTTCGTGTCGTGGTCATGTCTCGCGGCGAGCCTCCTGCTTTGTGAGTTTCAGCCCTATATCTACACGTCAGCTGACGACAGGCGTCCCAAGTCAAGGTGAAACAGCTAGATGGAGAACGTAAACAATAACAACAACAGCAACAACAAGAGCAACAACTGTGACAAATACAAAAACTGCAACAACAACAACAACAATAACAACAGTGAAAATTACAACAACAACAACAATACTAAGGATAACATTAATACAAACACAGTTAGTGCTCAAGGGTCTGCGGAACCAGAGCTTCTCTCGATTGACGCAGAGGAGGAACTCCTTCTCACGCCAGTAGAGGAAAAGGCGACGCCTCCGATGGAGACGGATAATCAGGATGTCTGCGTCACCTACGTGCCAAAGGACGAGATAACCGTCAGTCTCTCCAGGGACAAATTTCTAAGTAGGATAGGGAAGCAAAATCCCAGCCTCACGATGAGTTCCTGGAGGGTGCTCAGGACGGATAAGGAAAAGGGCAGGGGCTGCTCCATCACTTTTTCCGTGGATGATTCCGGATTGGAAGATCAACGGAAAGCGGAGTTCCGACTTTTCCTGAACTTCTTCCGGGTTACCGTTCGGGTTAAACAAAATCCTCTCAAGCTGCTGGCGGTAAGACAGGACAAAATAAAAAACCAACGCCCACCGCGACAACGACGAGCGCTTCAGGCCAACCAAAAGAGCCAAAACTCATTGGAAAGTCTGAAGTCGCTCCGACAGGAGCTATTCTTCAGACTTTTGTGGAAGGAGGAACTTCCAACTAATAATAGGAAGTGATGCCAATGCCCACCACACCGTCTGGGGAAGAAGTAATATAAATAAAAGAGGTGAGTGCCTACTTGAATTTATATATAGCAATAAATTAATGGTTATGAATGAGGGCAATAGGCCGACATTCATAAATGCAATTAGGGAAGAGGTCCTTGACATCACCCTTTACACTGAGTTTATCGGCAGTAGGGTTAGTGGATGGCATGCCTCAAATGAGACATCCATGTCCGATCCGGGGGCCTGGCAGAAGAAATGTATCTGGTACCCCAATCCACAGATTGGAGTCAATTCGAAACACTCCTCATGTATGGGATTGGATCCATTCCTACTGCTGCCAAACCGGTGATGGATATCGAACTGGCCAACGAGGCTTTGACGGCGGCTATTACTAGTGCCTACCATGGGAGCTGCGCGCTAAGCCGCGGCGGAGCAATAGAAAGTGCCCGTGGTGAAATGAAGAGCTTTCAAGGCTTAGACTAGAGACCAGAAAGCTATTCAATAAGGCCAAGGCGTCGGGTTTGTGGACTCACGAAATACAATAAAGAAATTAGGAAAGCGAAGAGAATTTCGTGGAGAGCGTTCTGCAAGGGTATTGATGAACTCTACGGGATTTATACGGGAAGGTCTACTGTACTCGCTCTGCAGAGTCTGGTGGGGGTCCTTGAAAACTCACTGGAAGTGCGGGAGATGGCAGTTGGCTCCTTCCTTGATATAGAAGGAGTTTTTGACAACACCCCATATCATATCATCTGTGAGTCGTTGCACAAACGAGGGATTGATGCGACGACTAGCAGATGGATTAATCGGATGCTACAGGATAGGATTATTAAGTCCACCATAGCTGACGATATACTCTTCATCTCCGCTGCAAAAGGGCGGCCTCAGGGCGGGGTTCTTTCGCCCCTCCTGTGGTCCATTGTAGTTGATGATTTAATCCTGCACCAGATGCAGAAGCACGGACAGATTAACGAGCTCAATTCTGTTTGGTGAACGTATTAATTACTCTAGGGAGGTGAAGTATCTGAGGGTAACCCCAGATAGAGTTATCGAGAGGGCTACGGCGGCCTTGTGGAAGTGTAGGGGCTTCAGCGGGGGGACCCGGGGGATCAGTCCCAGGAAAGCACTGTGGCTATATACGGCCCTTGCTAGGCCCATCGTCGCCGCTGTACCTCCATATGCGTCGATTTTGTGGTGCCGTAAAGCTCAGCAGGCGGGTGTGGGCCAAGCTGGAAAAGCTACAGAGGCTGGCCTGCCTGGGAGTGACCGGAGCAATGCGGACGACTCCTACCGCTGCATTGGAGGTGATGATCGGGTTGCCGCCGCTGCACCTCCATACATTGAAGGAAGCTCGGCTACTGACTTACCGACTTCTCTCTGGCGAGGACAGGGCAGGGCTAAAGTTGAGAGCGATCCGATTCTAAGAATAACCATGACACCTGTGTTCGGGAACTGTTGTCCAACTCCCTTAGGGATATCTCCGGCTTTGTGGTTGGGATGGGGATATTATAGGCTGGAGCGTGGGGAGGCTACAACAAGTCAAGAATGGCTGCGGTGGCTTGGGGGGTTACTCCTGCCCCACTCGGTTCCCTTAAAATCTACAATCTACAGTATAATAGTACAGTATACAAAGGTATAATAGTACAGTATAATAGTACAGTATACAAAGCTATAATAGTACAGTATCATAATTACCACATGTACATAAATAGTGTTTGAAAAAATGATTACGTGTTATATTATTCGAAAGTGTCATAGTGTTCGAAATATACTATTGCTTTAAACAAGTATAAATTTCGTTTTTCAAAAGCAAAACAAAAAGATTTGAATATTAATATTCGAATTGTTTCAAAATTTAGTACAAAATTAAATTGTCTAACTTAAAAAGACTAAAATAATTAGACAAATCAATCAACTTATATAAAGATATACAGTTTAAGGTACAATTTCACTTTATTTTTAATAAAAATTATAATTATGCGTGAAAAGTAAGTGTGTATTTCAATTAATTTCGGTATTATTATCAAAATTATACCATTAATAAGTTTTTGTCGTTGTGTGATAATGATCTTTTAATTAATGTATATAAGTAATTGAAAACGATGATCCCTTGAAATAATAAAAAAAAACTTAATATATATATGTAATTAATTTCCAAATTTACAATGTTGCGTATATACCATATTGAACTGATAATTATGCGAAGCTAAAATATTAAAAATTCCAATATTAAATTACAGAATAGTGTAAAAAAAAAATATGGAATTACAAATAAAAACAAATGAAAAATAAATTTGCCGTTATTGTATTATAATTACTATAATACATATGTATATGCAATAATTATTAAAGTATATAACTTAATTATGAACAAAACTTTTTATAAAAGTAAAAAAAAAAAATACTCTTCTCTTAAAATCACTTGTCATAATCAGTAATTACCATCAAGGTATTTTTAAATACTTATGTATGCATTTAGTTTTT